AGACAACATCTCACTGGAAGAAATCGAAGCGCTGGAAGATTTTGGAATTGAAATAATAACTAAACTTTTAAATGATATTTATAATAGTGGGTATATTCCAAATGGCCTTTTAAAATCCATATTTATAGCTCTGCCTAAGAAACCAGGCACTATAAAATGTGAAGACCATCGCACAATAAGTCTTATGAGTCACATGACTAAGATTTTACTGAGAATAATTATGAGAAGAATAAGAAACAAAATTAAACCAGAAATCAGCGATGAACAATGTGGATTTGTAGAAGGAAAAGGTACAAACAACGCCATATACATCTTAAGGACATGGTCAGAAAGTAAAGACTGATTTGTACATATGCTTCATAGACTATACACAAGCATTTGACTGTGTGAAGCATAAAGAAGTAATCAAACTGTTAGAAAAATTAAACTTTGATGGGAAAGATCTAAGAATAATAAAGACATGTATTGGCAGCAAACAGCAGCTATAAGAATTAACAACTGTTTGGGTACATTTCAAAGCATAAATAGGGGCGTACGACAAGGATGTGTTCTGTCACCTGATTTGTTTTCAATATACAGTGAATATATAATGAGAGCTTTAATTGGTATGCCCCGAATTGTGGTTGGTGGGCACAATATAAACAATTTACGTTATGCTGATGATGCAGTCTTGATAGCAACAAGTCAGAAAGAACTACAGGAAATGATAAACATTGTGGTGTTAGAAAGTGGAAGAATGGGCCTCAGTTTGAATAATGAGAAGACAGAAGTAATGGTGGTTTCAAAGAAACGAATTATTCCTAAGTGTGTAATAAAAGTTGATGGTGTTATTTTAGGACAAGTACATAAATTTAAGTATCTGGGCACATGGATAACATCAGATGGAAGATGCATAACTGAGATAAGAAATATAATAGGACAGGCAAAAACTGCATTTTATAAAATGAAAAACATCTTGTGCAATATATCCTTGTCATTGAGAGTTATAAAAAGAATTCTTGCTTGCTACGTACATCCAGTTTTAACATATGGCCGGGAATCCTGGACAATCGGTAGGCAGGCCAAACAATTTCTGGAGTCCTCGGAGATGTGGTTTTACAGAAGAATGCTTCGAATACCTTGGACAGCCAAAAAAGAGCAACCAAGCCGAAGACAACTTATCACAGACATCAGAAGGAGACAGTCATCATTTTTTGGCCATGTCATGAGAAGAGGGAAAATAGAAAATGTTGTGACCAATGGAAAGATATGTGGAAGGAGAGATAGAGGAAGACAACGAGAGAAGATGCTTGACAGTCTTGTTGCATGGCATGGAGGTGTGTCGGCACACGAACTGATACATGCTGCAGGAGATCGCAGATTATGGAGAGGCATGATCGCCCATAGCCAGTCGGCAAGGCACCTGATGATGATGATGGTATCTTGAATGTATTCCCCATAAAAAGTGTACAATTTGATGTTTTGTCAAATTCGCATCACTCCATTAACTATAAATATGCTAACTCTATGCTTTGAAACGGTGTCTGTGTTACCATATATCGGAAACGAGACACAATAAAATCTAGATTTTTTTTTTAAATTATCATCATCATCATCAACATCATGCCACAAAGACATGCTTTTTAACAAGTTGCATGAAACATTTCAACAATTTATACTGAAAAATTACTGACTTACAGACCTTTAAAGGTGGGTACGACATCTGAGACGAACTAAAAGATTCCGGAAACAAACATATCTAAGGCCAAACTCAAAAGATAAACGTTGAGGATAGAAACCAAAAAGTCACAAATTCACAAATTATAAAAAAATAAAAAAAACACTCATTTATCACTATTCGTACTATACTGATGCAAACTAGTACATTCTGGAACATTGCAGGGATAGAACAAGCAAAAGACTATATTTACAAACAGTTCAAGTTGGCTTGTTAATTCCAACAGACAGGTAAACATAATTATAGCTTCAAACATCTAAGTTAAGATAACGTTAGAAGAGAAGAAAAGATTGATAAACAATTCGCCATGAGACTTAAACAGCAATGCGGAAAGAATCCTTCTCATTGTCTTTAAGTAATGTCCACTCTGTGTTATCAACGATTTATTGCATAAAGACATAAGGCAGACGAAGTGGTTAACATTTAGAAGAAGGAAGAGAGGCAGGGAACAATAACTGCACATAAATAAGCCAGTAAAACGGATGTACACGCAAAACTGAAGTCCTGGTACAAAGACAAAGCCCAAGAGGACGAACACCCAGAACTTTCCGCCGGAATTCACAGCCGATAAACAGAAATAAAGAAGAAGAAGGAAGGAGCAAGTAATCAAGCTGTTGTGAGAAAAAAAAAGCGTAAGGAAAACATATTATAAAATAATATCATTATCAAGTACCGTGCCGATAACCGTAGGCTGTCATCTCTCGTCATTCCACAAAATCACCAGCATTGTGTATCAGGTCGGTATTCTTGTCTCGCCCCAGTCATTTGGCAAAACCACCCTGGCTTTTACCCCTACGCCTTCCTCTTGCTCTCTTTCTATTGTTTTGCTGGCGTTACTAAGCTCTTGAGTCCATTTTTTTTTCTCACAACATGTCTGGAAAACACGGAAGATCCACGTCTAATATTTACTCATAACATGTCTGGAAAACACCCAAGATTCACGTCTAATATTTCTCATAACATGTCCTGGAAAACACGGAAGGTCCACGTCTAATATTTCTCATAACATGTCTGGAAAACACTAAAGGTCCACGTCTAATTTTTCTCATAAAATGTCCGGAAAACACGGAAGGTCCACGTCTAATATTTCTCATAACATGTCTGGAAAACACGGAAGGTCCACGTCTAATATTTCTCACAACATGTCTGGAAAACACGGAAGGTCCACGTCTAATTTTACTCATAACATATCTTGAAAACACCCAAGATCCACATATAATTTTTCTCATAACATGTCCAGAAAACACCAAAGGTCCACGTCTAATATTTCTCATAACATGTCCGGAAAACACCCAAGATCCACATATAATTTTTCTGATAACATGTCCAGAAAACACTGAAGGTCCACGTCTAATATTTCTCATAACATTTCCGGAAAACACCCAAGGTCCACGACTAATTTTTCTCATAACATGTCCGGAAAACACCCAAGATCCACATATAATTTTTCTCATAACATGTCCGGAAAACACCGAAGGTCAACGCCTAAATTTTCTCCAGAAAATCCGGTTTTTCATTTCACTCCTGCAAATCCCGGACAATATATCCAGGTGATTTCCTGCAATGTTGCCGTATTGATGCATAGTATCCACTTATGCCACATTAGTCCATTTTTAACCTTCCGCAGTAACGAGTGAGAATCAGACACACTTTTTCCTCTGGTAGTTTTGTTTTATGTAATCCAATTCAGAACTGCAGTGATTTCCTCCGCTCCCATTCTCCTGCTTGAAGTTGTAGATAACAAATCTCCATTTTGTTCTGCCACAATTTTTCCCTTTATTCCAGCTAAAAATGCCCAGCCAGATCTCACACACCCTTGAACAGAACCCTCGAAGTACACTACTGCATCCTCTAGCCCAACCTTTCCATCTATCACTTGTTGTACCTCTAATATTGCCAAAAGTGTGACACTATCTTTAAAAAGTCATTATGACACTTTTAACACAGTTTACAGTAAATGGCATGGTTTGTATAATTCCTATGACACATTTAAGCTAAATTTCCAACCCCCCTCGTAAACAATAATGAAAAAAAGGAAAACCGAGACTAACCATTCATTGTTCATTTCTGAGATCATCTTCATCGCACATTGGACATGACCATAATTGCTCCGATCTCCTCATGAGTATGTCTTCAAGTGTTTTTAGACTAACAACTCCCATTCTGATCTGGCTACCGCATAATTTTCCTGTCTCGCGCCTCCATTTGGACCACCAAGGGAATGCAGTCTATTCAGTCAAAAATAATTTTTCCCCGAAACTGAAAGCCCCACAGCGTTTAGATTAAATTAAAAGACAGTAAGTTAAACAAAAAAAAAATACTGAATCGGTTTAGCGAAGTAAGGGTATGCAGTCTATTCAGTCAAAAAGAGAAATGATAGCCAATGCTTGTCGGCACGACACACGATGATGCTGATGATGATTGAGCACTTATGTTCAGCTAGGTAAGGGTAACTACTGAACTCAAACTTTGTCTAGTAAATCATCAGAACGGCCAAAATACGCTGGAGTTAGTTTTGCAACGTCCTGTAACTTTTATCAGTCCCGGATAGCTTCAAAGTGAAAAACCCAGTCTGGCACAATAATTACAGTTGAAAAGCCATTAGAGCTGTAGTCCCCAACCTTTTTAAGACCCCCCCCCTCCCCCTATTCCCCACCTGAGTATACTGCAAGATCCCCACCCCCGAGTTATATGGCAAGATGTGGCCAAAATACTTCAACATTCGGGACAGGATGCTGTTTATGAGCCAGTTCTCCCTGATGTTCAACTCGTTCAGAACGTCGTTGTTTTTCTTTTTTTCTGATCCATGGTATTCTCAGAATTTCTCTTTAACACTACAATTCAAAAGCTCCAGTCTTTTTCCTCAATGACAGAGTGAGAGTCTAAGACTCACAACCGTAAGTTGCCACAGGAAAAATGCATGATCTCAAGATTTTTACTCTTACCAATTTACTAGTGCTTTGCCATAGGTTCTTCATACTATTTAATCTCTGCATGGTGTATATTATACACTACAAAAATATGAAGAGAAAGTAAAATCAAGAATAAAGAATAATCAAGACATTCAGAAATTAAGTGACGAGACAACCACATAAGCTTACCTATTGCAGTCGATATCTGGCGAGTGCCGTTCTTGTTGTGTGGTCTTTGGCGAGGAGTTTTCCAGTTTCGTGCACTCTCTCCACTGGACGCAGCAGAAGCCGGCACATTCAGCTGGCTGTGCACATGCGACGGAACTATCACCACCAACCCGTCTTGAGAGTCCGGGGACGCAGACGGACTAATGGAACTGGCGCTGCTACCCATAATGTATTTATGTGGGTTAACGTGGTCCCTAACCACTTGATTAGTTTATTTCTTGAATGCTGGCAGCAGAAAGGATTCTGTATCGACTGTAAACCTTCTTCCTCACAAATTACCCTTCAGTATAGGCCACACTGCAAACTGGTTGTTAATCCGCTTATCTTCCCTCATTGTGGTGAAGAGTTCCAATCCCATTCGAGAGGTAAAGCTTTCTAAATATTGCATGCTCCCGGGTCGACCCGGTGCAGAAAAGCCTGGCGGAGTGATATTGGCCGAATTACTCATCTGATACCGATTAGTCATAAAATACAGTACTATAGTGCGTCCCAATAGTCGTTCTCAACTTAAAATAAAAATCTATAACTTAGCAACCGTTCGGTGAGTTGACTTGAGTCAAAAACTGACACCACAGCACTCGGGGCATTCCCATGTATGCTCTGTCTTATTCTTCAGCAGCCAGCTCAGAGTTCCAATACTGATGGTAACTGTTACAATCTGGTTATATGCCCGTCTTGCCATTCCTCTGAGTGTAGTGAGCCGTACCAGTTCGGTGTCAACTGGTGAAATCTGGCAGGTAACCTGTTAAAAATCAAAAACATAATATATATATATATATATAATGTAAACAAACACCCAGTTTCTATTTTACCCTATTTGTAAGGGGGAAAAGGCAACGATTTAAAGCATAGAGCTTGCATGTTTACAGATACATAGAAACGCAAGCTGTGCAAAACATCATATTGCACGTGTTTTAGATGTAATCTGTGCAAAACATCATATTGCACGTGTCTTAGTTGTAATATGTGTAAAACATCAGTTTGCATGTGTTTTAGATGTAATCTGTGTAAAACATCATATTGCACGTGTTTTAGATGTAATTTGTGGAAAAAAAGGTTGGATCATTTTGAATAGTGAAGTGGAACGTCATAATCATATATTTTCACAACTGTAACTCAGTTCATGTTCGTTTCACAGAAATGTGATCTCTGAGTGTGTCAGTTATTGTATATTCGAATAATTTTTTTTTTCGATGTACACGACCACGATCATATAAATTCGCCGCTTTAAGAAAACAACAGCATCTGTGCAATGGACAATTATAATACCGTAAGGACATGAGAAATCTAAGATTACATGAAAACATTTGTATTAATCCGTACAGTATATTTCGAGATTTTCGTTAAATTTTAAGGGCACGATTTTTAGATGCAATTGAGTACCACATACATTAGGAAATCTCTTTGGGGGTAACGACCACTAGGGTGATATAGACAATATCACATAACGAGTGCCAATTGATCTGTTTGAGTTTAGCATCATATGCCCCGCCCGTTATCAGCAATAAAGGGCCCTTCCTTCATACCATCTACCTATTAAAACAGGAGACACGGAAAAGTCTCACAACCTTAAAAAGTTAGCTTTGTATCCTTTACGTTGCAACGCCAGCAATTGTTTCGCTGTTGTGGTTTTTCTTGGCAAAATTACGTGCAGTAGTTTGCCATTGTTTTCTTGATTGGACGGTCGACTTTTTGATACCACTGTTGACGCCAACGCAGCGCGCAAGGCCCTCAAATGGGATCGAGCCGGATACCCTGGCATTACAAAGCTCGTTCGCAACGCCTAGGTCACAGACGCTCACAACCTTACCTTACTTATAATTAACTTTCTGGTCCCATTTCTCTCAGGAGCATGACCTAACAGAAACAACAACTACAGCAAACAAAAATCTATACCATTTTTTTAAAGGGGCAACATATGATGTCCTCTTCTGTCTTTCTAACCCCCAATAGTCATAGGCCCTCAACCAACTCACGCAAACATCTTTCGCTATCGCGTGTGGCTCTCCCCATGTCCTCCCCATCTGTTTAACTTCACTCTCTAGCTCCCTTTTCGATGTGTGTTTTGTGTGTGTGTGTGTGTGGGGGGGAGGTCTTCCCCCTTTCTTTATGCCACCTAGTGCAAAGACACACTAGCCACCCAGCGCAAAGACTAGCCACCCAGCGCAAAGACACTCTAGCCACCCAGCGCAAAGACACTCTAGCCACCCAGCACAAAGACTAGCCACCCAGCGCAAAGACACTCTAGCCACCCAGCACAAAGACTAGCCACCCAGCGCAAAGACACTCTAGCCACCCAGCACAACTCTAGCCACCCAGCGCAAACCCAGCACAAAGACACACTCTAGCCACCCAGCACAAAGACACTCTAGCCACCCAGCACAAAGACACTCTAGCCACCCAGCACAAAGACACTCTAGCCACCCAGCGCAAAGACACTCTAGCCACCCAGCACAAAGACACTCTAGCCACCCAGCACAAAGACACACTAGCCACCCAGCACAAAGACACTCTAGCCACCCAGCGCAAAGACACTCTAGCCACCCAGCGCACAAGACTAGCCACTAGCCAAACCCTAGCCACCCAGCACAAAGACACTCTAGCCACCCAGCACAAAGACACTCTAGCCACCCAGCACAAAGACACTCTAGCCACCCAGCACAAAGACACTCTAGCCACCCAGCGACACAAAGACACTCTAAGCCACCCCAGCACAAAGCCTAGCCACCCAGCGCACAAAGACACACTAGCCACCCAGCACAAAGACACTCTAGCCACCCAGCCACACCAGCACAAAGACACTCTAGCCACCCAGCACAACTCTAGCACAAAGACACACTACTAGCCACCCAACGCACAAAGACACACTAGCCACCCACGCACAAAGACACACTAGCCACCCAAGCACAAAGACTAGCCACTAGCGACAAAGACACTCACCCAACCCAGCACAAAGACACTCTAGCCACCCACGCACAAAGACACTCTAGCCACCCAGCGCAAAGACACTCTAGCCACCCAGCGCAAAGACACTCTAGCCAGCCAGCCCAGCGCAAAGACACTCTAGCCACCCAGCGCAAAGACACTCTAGCCACCCAGCGCAAAGACACTCTAGCCACCCAGCACAAAGCACAAAGACTCTAGCCACCCAGCACAAAGACACTCTAGCCACCCAGCACAAAGACACTCTAGCCACCCAGCACAAAGACACTCTAGCCACCCAGCGCACAAAGACACTCTAGCCACCCAGCACAAAGACACTCTAGCCACCCCCCAAAGAGCACTAAAGACACTCTAGCCACCCACGCACAAAGACACTCTAGCCACCCAGCGCAAAGACACTCTAGCCACACTCTAGCGCAGCACAAAGACACTCTAGCCACCCAGCACAAAGACACTCTAGCCACCCAGCGCAAAGACACTCTAGCCACCCAGCGCAAAGACACTCTAGCCACCCAGCGCAAAGACACTCTAGCCACCCAGCCCAGACACAAAGCCACACACCACAAAGACACACTAGCCACCCACGCACCCAAAGACACTCTAGCCACCCAGCACAAAGACACACTAGCCACCCAAAGCACTAGCCACCCAGCACAAAGACACTCTAGCCACCCAGCACAAAGACACTCTAGCCACCCAGCACAAAGACACTCTAGCCACCCAGCACAAAGACACTCTAGCCACCCAGCACAAAGACACACTAGCCACCCAGCACAAAGACACACTAGCCACCCAGCGCACAAAGACACTCTAGCCACCCAGCGCACAAAGACACTCTAGCCACCCAGCACAAAGACACACTAGCCACCCACGCACAAAGACACACTAGCCACCCAGCACAAAGACACTCTAGCCACCCAGCACAAAGACACACTAGCCACCCAACGCACAAAGACACTCTAGCCACCCAGCACAAAGACACACTAGCCACCCAGCACAAAGACACTCTAGCCACCCAGCGCAAAGACACACTAGCCACCCAGCGCACAAAGACACTCTAGCCACCCAACGCACAAAGACACTCTAGCCACCCAACGCACAAAGACACACACTAGCCACCCAGCGCAAAGACACTCTAGCCACCCAGCACAAAGCCACCCACACTAGCCACCCAACGCACAAAGACACTCTAGCCCACCCAACTAGCACAAAGACACTCTAGCCACCCAGCACGCACTAGCCACACTAGACACTCCTAGCCACCCCAGCGCAAAGACTAGCCACCCAGCACAAAGACACTCTAGCCACCCAGCGCAAAGACACTCTAGCCACCCAGCGCAAAGACACTCTAGCCACCCAGCGCAGACACTCTAAAGACACTCTAGCCACCCAGCACAAAGACACTCTAGCCACCCAGCACAAAGACACTCTAGCCACCCAGCACAAAGACACTCTAGCCACCCAACGCACAAAGACACTCTAGCCACCCAGCGCAAAGACACTCTAGCCACCCAGCACAAAGACACTCTAGCCACCCAACGCACAAAGACACACTAGCCACCCAGCGCAAAGACACTCTAGCCACCCAGCGCAAAGACACTCTAGCCACCCAGCGCAAAGACACTCTAGCCACCCAGCGCAAAGACACTCTAGCCACCCAACGCACAAAGACACACTAGCCACCCAGCACAAAGACACTCTAGCCACCCAACGCACAAAGACACACTAGCCACCCAGCACAAAGACACTCTAGCCACCCAACGCACAAAGACACACTAGCCACCCAACGCACAAAGACACACTAGCCACCCAGCACAAAGACACACTAGCCACCCAACGCACAAAGACACACTAGCCACCCAACGCACAAAGACACACTAGCCACCCAGCACAAAGACACTCTAGCCACCCAACGCACAAAGACACACTAGCCACCCAGCACAAAGACACTCTAGCCACCCAGCACAAAGACACTCTAGCCACCCAGCGCAAAGACACTCTAGCCACCCAGCGCAAAGACACTCTAGCCACCCAGCGCAAAGACACTCTAGCCACCCAGCGCACAAAGACACTCTAGCCACCCAGCACAAAGACACTCTAGCCACCCAACGCACAAAGACACTCTAGCCACCCAGCACAAAGACACTCTAGCCACCCAGCACAAAGACACTCTAGCCACCCAGCACAAAGACACTCTAGCCACCCAACGCACAAAGACACTCTAGCCACCCAGCACAAAGACACTCTAGCCACCCAACGCACAAAGACACTCTAGCCACCCAGCGCAAAGACACTCTAGCCACCCAGCGCAAAGACACTCTAGCCACCCAGCGCACAAAGACACTCTAGCCACCCAGCGCAAAGACACTCTAGCCACCCAGCGCAAAGACACTCTAGCCACCCAGCACAAAGACACTCTAGCCACCCAGCGCAAAGACACTCTAGCCACCCAGCACAAAGACACTCTAGCCACCCAACGCACAAAGACACACTAGCCACCCAGCGCAAAGACACTCTAGCCACCCAGCGCACAAAGACACTCTAGCCACCCAGCGCAAAGACACTCTAGCCACCCAGCGCAAAGACACTCTAGCCACCCAGCACAAAGACACACTAGCCACCCAGCACAAAGACACTCTAGCCACCCAACGCAAAGACACTCTAGCCACCCAGCACAAAGACACTCTAGCCACCCAGCACAAAGACACACTAGCCACTCTAGCCACCCGCACAAAGACACACTAGCCACCCCAGCACAAAGACACACTAGCCACCCACGCACAAAGACACACACCCAAGCCACTAGCCAACGCACAAAGACACACTAGCCACCCAACGCACAAAGACACACTAGCCACCCAACGCACAAAGACACACTAGCCACCCAGCACAAAGACACTCTAGCCACCCAGCACAAAGACACACTAGCCACCCAACGCACAAAGACACTCTAGCCACCCAGCACAAAGACACACTAGCCACCCAGCGCAAAGACACTCTAGCCACCCAGCGCAAAGACTAGCCACCCAGCGCAAAGACTAGCCACCCAACGCACAAAGACACTCTAGCCACCCAACGCACAAAGACACACTAGCCACCCAGCGCAAAGACTAGCCACCCAGCACAAAGACACTCTAGCCACCCAACGCACAAAGACACTCTAGCCACCCAACGCACAAAGACACACTAGCCACCCAACGCACAAAGACACACTAGCCACCCAGCGCAAAGACTAGCCACCCAGCACAAAGACACTCTAGCCACCCAGCGCAAAGACACTCTAGCCACCCAGCGCAAAGACACTCTAGCCACCCAACGCACAAAGACACACTAGCCACCCAACGCACAAAGACACACTAGCCACCCAACGCACAAAGACACACTAGCCACCCAACGCACAAAGACACACTAGCCACCCAACGCACAAAGACACACTAGCCACCCAGCGCAAAGACACTCTAGCCACATTGCTCTCAGGCTAAACGCGCTCCCTGCCAACCCCTCGGTCCACAGGAACCCTTCCAGCTCCCCCCCCCCCAAAGTTTCACACCAGCGACTCTATCGGATCACCTAATTCCCTCCACTCTGCCCAGGCATCAGCTAGTGAATGCCTGCAGTGCATCAGAAACTGCCCCAGTTTTTCTATGCCCCCGCTCCAAACAACAGCACCGACCTGAGAGATGATGTGTAACAAATGAATTAGGGATTCTCCTCAACGTTTTTACTCTGTGCCCTCTTACACATTTTTTTAAGTGTAGAAGGGGAGTAAGCTTAAGGTACCCAAGTCTTCTTCAGGTGTTTAATAATAATAGTTAATTATCAATCAATCATGTCGCGTCTCCAGAGTAAAGGTTGGCTGTAATGGATCCCCAACGCGCTCTGTCTCTTGTCCTGGTTGTACACTCTCTCAGATTGCTGCCCGTCAATCTCTTGATATTGTCTTCCCACTTGAATCGTAGCCCACCTCTTGCTCTCTTGCCTTCGACCTTTTCCTCCAGTAAGGTATTCAAAAGCGTGTTTTTCTTTTAATGTGGCCAAAGTATTTCAATTGTCTCTTTTTTATTTCTTTCCTCAATTCTCTAATTTTATTATATATTTTTTTTTGGTAGTCCTTTCAGAACCTCTGCATTAGACTGTTTTTGCTTCCATGAAATATAAACTGCTGCTTATTCACCATCCAAGTTTCTGCAGCATATAGCCGGACTGGGGGCACATAACTTTTAAGGATTCTCATTTTTTAGTGTGTTGTTGATCTCTCTCTCTAGCTGTCAATAATTTGCACATCTTATTAAAGACAGTTTTAGCCGTTCCTATCCTGTTTGTTTTCTGTTTCCTTTCTTCCATCGTCTGTTACTACGTGTCCTAGATAGGAGAAACTTTTTACCTGAGAGTTCGTCGACAGATTATCCTCATTGTACATTAAACCGTTCAGTCCAAAAGTGTTCGGATTCTCCTTCCCAGTAAATCTCGCAGCGTGTAGCGGTTCACGACACCAGTTTTATACTGGTTTCGTATTCTTCTTTGGCTTCTTGCATAGAGCTCTTGTCTGGTCAAGCTTGTAACATGTTCGTCTTGCACTCTGCTCCTGGCGGCTATCCTCTGAATAACGGTCGTAAATTATCGAGGCGAAAAATATACCCTAACAGGGCCTCAGTCACGTGTCAATTGCGTTATTTCGTCGTCTTAAAATGGGCGCTTAAGGCGACTTCCGCCACCGCCGAATTACGAACTTTCGGCAACTTTCGCCACCGCCGAAGGTGTTCCCTACGCAGCTCACGCGGCGTGGATTGGGGCTAAACTAGATGGGTAGGACTCGCGAGCCGCAGCTACCGCATCTCCTGTAACTTCCTTTATTTTATTTGCTTTTGAGTCCTAGCCATCTAGTTTAGCCCCAATCCACGCCGCGTGAGCGGCGTCGGGGAATACTTTCGGCGGTGGCGTTGTAGTCAGCGGAAGTGAAGTGCGCAACTGACACGTGACTGACGCCCTGTTAGGGTATATTTTCTGCCTCGATAATTTACGACCGTTTTTCGGAGGATAGCTCTCATGGCTGTAAATTTACTGTCATCACGTGGTTTTCGCAAAAGTCTTATTTCTCTTAGAGCATTCAGAACACCTGCTTGGTCCGTGGTTTGTCCACCCTCCACAGTAGCTTTACCTGCAAGCCTATCTATCAGCTTGTTCATTTTCTTGCACGCCTGGATCCCTGGCACAAATATAAAACTGGTAACTGTCAGCCCTAACCGCTTTAGACTCCAACACAGAACTGTGTCGTTCCATAATTTTAAAAACAATAATAACTGTAACAATAAAAAAAAATTAAAAAAATATGAATGTGTTGAATGGCAAATACATAAAAACAAATATATCTGAAATAATATATGTTAGAAAGTTAGCTATGTATCCTTTAAAGGACGTTGCAGAACCAACCCAGCGTGTTTTGTTGTTGCCTTTTGTAGTTTTTCTAGGCACAGTTTACGTTCAGTAATTTGCCATTGCTTTGTCAACAGTCAGCTCTCGGTACCACTGTCAAAATCAATGCAAGACAACCCGCCCGCAGCTGGGATCGAACCCTGTATCACGGTGTTACGGAGCGCGTTCGCAATACCTAAGCCACAGACGCCAACAAATGATAAGTAAATGAAAAAAATAATAAAGGAATTCTACACAAGGTTGGAAGGGGAAGGACAGCTTAGTTTCCTTGCAATGTTGGAGAACAAAAACATCTCAGCCTTCTACTAAAGGGAGCCGTCTTGGTCTAGCTGCTAGACGCTCGCCTGCGGAAAGGAACGTCGTCGGTTCGGATACTGATAGGGACCAAACTTTTTTTTTTATGACCTTGGCTCCCCGGTCGGTCCAGTAGTGAGTGAATACCAGGTACAGTCCTTGGTAGTAAAGGCGGCCAGCGAAATACTGATTACGTCACGCATCAGGTACCTTTTGTTCTATAACATAGTTTTAGCCCTATATAGCTTATACGCCTAGAGGCGTAAAAAGGAACTTTCACTTTACTTAAGTAAGTAAATTCTACTTCACCAGGACATCACACATAGCGATAAACACCCGGTGACACAAAGTACCACCATTGGTTATGGAAAAATTCTGAACCTTGAAGTATACCATATAAAGTTTCTCTAGGCGGGGAAGTAGCGCCCACGAGCGGAAACCCCTTATGTTCTGAATAAGTTAATGAGTGCGGCTGTCCAAGGAAGAACATACACGGTACATGGAACATTTCTACTTTACCTCTCTCTCTCTCTCTCTCTCTCTCTCTCTCTCTCTCTCTCTCTCTCTCTCTCTCTCTCTCTCTCTCTCTCTCTCTCTCTCTCTCTGAAGAACAACAACAAATAATTCAATTCACTTTACTTGCTTTCTTGCTTGATTGTTGTACCCCACCCAGACATAACACACGCGATAAACACCCGTGGGGAGGTCTCAGAAACCCTGTTCAGCCGTTATGTCTACAATTGTGTCCAGTTATATTTAGGGCCCCTGGCAAAAGCCAGGCTGGGGTTTCAAATAACGAAAAGTTGCATCCCACATAGGGACTGAGTTTACAATTTACTTTTACTTTTACTTCGATATATGAAAGCTAAATTTATTTGGGTATTGTAGTTAGTTGTCTTTTCATTGATATTTCCTAGGGATAATATCGCACCAATTCACCCTTTTCCGAACTGGTAAGGGGTTAGTGTTGGCTCTGCAGTTGGTCTTATTCATTGCTCTATAATTCTTGCAAACATTTTACTCACATGGCTTAGACGTGAGATACCTATGTATATGCCTCAGTCTTGTTTTGTCGAGGCGCGTGGTTTAGGCGTTGCGAGTCCGACCCGAAATTCAAACATGCCGCGATCAAAACCTACTGCTGGCTGCGTGGATTTTATCATAGTATAGGGCGTCGCAGGTCGACCCAGCCTAAAATGGATACCAGGATGTATGTCCTGGAAAAGCAAAGACTGCCGGCGTAAAATGCTGACTCCATTACCCACCTATCACCGTTAGGTCTGTACAAAATATGTGTACCTGATGCGCCTAAAGGCGTGAAAAGAGATCTTTACTATTTTACTTTCTTGT